CATGTATTCACTGAACCCAGCAAAATGTGGTAAGATGTCAATTAATTTCTCGACAACCTTCGCATGGAATAACTCGGGCAAATATCTAGATTCGCACAATAATTTTGTGAGAACGTTCGGGAGCGATTAAAAGGCTTTTAGTTGCCAATGGCAGTAATGAGGGGGTGTTGTTGCACTTGCCTGTTGTTGCCTGCTGCTTTTGCCTCTGCTGTTTGCTGGCTGGCCACAAAAGCCGCCACCGCAGACCAGGCAAAGTGCAGTCGTGCCACGCCCCCTCATCGTGTGACGCCTCCCCCTCCCCCTTTCCCCCCTGTGAGGATCCCAACTCTGAACTCGGCGCTTGCATTAAGTGGCGGTTGGCAAAGTTGTCGACGTTGTGGAACTTAAACAATGCACAAGGCAGGCGAGTGCATACAGGAGCTGGCTCTCCGATTTCGCCAGGTGCAAGTTGCACCACTGCCATAAGCTGCTCAGGATTGGGTTGCTGGTGGTGAGGGAGGTGGTCCTGGTCATGGAGACGGGAGACGGGGGACGAGGGGACTGGGACCGCCAGCTGTTCTTATGCCTTAAGGACATTAACCTAATCAACGCTCGGTGCCGGGCTCACACTCACACACGCACACGCTCCGGCTGAATGGGTTGCATAACTGTTGACAGTGGGGGAAAATGTGGGAAAACGGAGGGAAATGGAAGGGAAAGTGCAAGCGAACCAAGTCGAGTTAAGTTGAGCTGAGGGTATTGACTGCCCTGCCAGTTATTGTTTAATGTTTGGGCCGTGATTCAGGACGAGCTCACGAGCTTGTAAGCCAAGTGGGCGGAGAACTCCGACAGAGAAAAAAAGAAGGGCCACTTAAGAAGTAAATAATTTATTAATTTTTGTTTAATCAATAAAAGAACTATTGAGTAAGCATTCCTGAGAAGGAGAATGCTGACAGTAATTAAAATCCTTATGTAAGCCATGTTTTATTTTGTGTCCAAGTTGTTAGTTTTTAAATTGTGTTTAAAAGTATGGATAAAAATATATTGTAATCTTTCGGAACTAATTCAAGGGACTTCTGAATGTAAAACATAATGCTGCATAATTTTAGATACCTTTAGAAATGATTTCAAAACACCAGCGATTTTTGAGGCACCCCTGAATACTTTAGATTTTGAGTTTCAGTGCTTGTTTCCAGTGCTTGAGTCATGAGAAAAAGTAAACACTTGGAATTGCAAATAGGCATTTGCAATGGGAGCAAGAGTTAATTAGAAACGAGCTGGGAACAGAACAATGCAGCTTGCGCCAATAGTACAACCTAAGATTACAGGCAGTGTACTTTTCCCTTTCAATTATCCAACGTCCGATTGGTATTTACAAAAAAATAATGTTATTAAAGACAACACAAACACGACGATTCGAGTGCATTAAATTAATGTTGATATGGTGAAAAAAAGAGCTGTAGTACCACGAAATGAAACTCAACTCGATGTCATTTGCATGTTTGCCCGGACAAACGCGAAAAAATGTGAGGGAACGAGAGGAAAAAGTGGAAAATCGATGAAATTTTTGCCAGTTAAATGTGACAGGCACCCACACCCAGCCGATATGCACGTAATCGGCTGACATATATGCATATAGACGCATGTACCAACGCGTAATTATGTCAGCGCTTGATTGTCCATTCCGCCCTTAGGCGCGTAGCTCCATCGTTTTGTCAGTCCATAAAAGTACATGGCTTTTTTGCATATTGATAAGGCCGCACGTAATGCTCCATTGAACTGCCATAATTGTCGTGTGTGCGAAGGCCTGGAAAGCGAAGCGATTTTTACACAAAATTATTTGCAATTATTGCGTAAAACTGCCTGATTTATGAGGGCAATTGAAAACCAATATTATTCCGCAAAATGTTTGAAAAACAATGCAATTAAGCGGCTGACATCGCCTCAAGGCAAGCAATTAATTTATGGGTGCAATTTAAGTACGATATTGGTCGGACGTTCTTTTTTTTCCAATTTATGAATGAAAAAGGTATTTTATTAGATAGCTTGTGGGGAAATAATTTACCAAATTTTGTGTAAATAACAGGGTTTCGATACCTATTGTTATGCAAAAATAAAGGAGCCTTTCTGTCCCTACGAAATAAAATCATAGTCTTTTTTTAGTTGCAATTTTCACAATGGTTACCCTATTGAAAAATAACAAATCTAATGGTGATCTTTCTTCACTATAATTTTATTGCATTTAAAGAGAACATTTCTAGAAGTTTAAAAAATATTTATTAGGGTTTTGATACAGAATTGGCCTATTATCTAAAACAAATTTCTTTGAAATCCTTAAAAATTAATCAGTTCGTTTCTTCTAATGCCCTTGAACCAATTGCAAATGCAAAATTAAACAAATAAAAGTCCTCGGGTGGCTAATGAGCAGAGTGTGGAAGGCACGTTTGATTGTTGTCAAGGACCGGCGTTTTATCAACTGTCAAACAACCCGGCTCTCCAAGTGCTCCAGACTCCCCGATCCCGCCCAGAAATTTATGCGGTGCAGCGTATGCCACAGAAAAGCTTGAAGCTCGAGCATGCTCGAGTGTTTGCCAGAGTGTGAGTGCAGGAGTGGGTGTGTGGGTGTGTGAGTGTGGCAGCTTCATTAAATTTGCACGCACAACTCGTGGGCGGTTGACGGTGGGCGGGGCCACGAAGACGGAGCAAGCCAACGTCAGTTTTGTGCAATTTCCGACGCAATCTTCATTTACAACTTAAGTTACAGCACAAACAACTGCAGCTGCATGCAAACAAACACAGACTCGCCAAAAGTGTAGCCGACTTTTAAGCTGTTGCGAAAACATTTTAGCGCTCATATGTGTGCGTATGTGGGCTTGTGTGTTTAAGTGTGTGTGTGTGTGGCAGTGTGTGTGTGCCAGTATGTGTGAGTGTGTGGCAGTAGAGTTACGACTACTCCATAACTAACCCCGCAGAGCCCCCTTAGTTATGCCTATGGGACCCGCCCGAATAACAGGATATGCCAGGCAGAAATTTATTAGGCGCATTGCACACTTTTGTGCGTTCACTTGAAAAATGACAACTTTAATTTAGCTACAAACACAAAGCCAACATGCAGCCCAGAAAGAGATGAGTAACGCCCAGCAAACGAGAAAAGGGCTGGAAGACAAAAGCGCCAGCCAGACAATGAGAAATGGGAGAGAGTCGGGAGAAAGCGGAAGGCGGGGCAGTGGAAAGCGGAGAAAGGGCTCAGAGACTATTCCCGGGGCTAGATCTGCTTTTGTCAGCTAACCACAGACATTGGCTCGCATTGTCACACGAGGAGAAAAAACCAAGCCTTTTCTAATCGCCATCTCGAAAGCCAAATACCCCTTTAATAGTACCACAAATTATTTGGTACATGTTACATTTCATTAAGCCACTTCTTATAAAAACAACTATAAATTAGAACATTTATAAAAAATGTTGACATTTTAGGAAATATTCAAAATTATGCTGTTATCATTGTTATTCTACAAAGCAGCAAAAGTAAAAATATTCTATTACTAATTAATTTTAAGTTACTTTGTCTATTTGAAAGTATTACAAATTTATGATTAAATCTTTTGCTTTTTGAAAAATCAACAGCCAAACAAAAAGATAAATGTTGGTTTTTTAAAGGTTAAATGAAGCCATTGAAGATGTATAAAAATCTTAAACAATATATTATTATTCTGGATCAATTCGAAATAAAGGGATCATTGGGATCATGCTTTTATTACTTAGATCAAAGTTTGGCTACTTTTCAGTTGGGTAAATGCATTGTTCATCAGCTGTAAAACCTATTATTTTAATATTCTTCAAAAACTTCGCTAATACCTTCCGTCGCAGTGTATTTGATAGCTGCCGGCTACAGTTGACTTTCGGATCGGAGAAAACGGGAAAGGGGACAGTGAAGACACTCCGTAGTTGTCCTTTGAAGGGAGTTTTCCACACCCGAACTCCTCCCCCTCCGCCGCTCGTCTCAGATGAATATTAATTACCATTTGAAAGCTTGTCATACACTTGTGTAAATTTATCAACAACAACAGGAGTGCTAGCAGGAAGACAACAAGGACGACGGTGGAGGGGAAGGGAAGGCCGGGGCAGGATCTGAAGGAGACAATAAGCAGAGTTGTCAAAGAGCAACAAACGAGGGGCACAGAGTTAGGCATGAAAATAGCTTTGAAAGTGCAGGAGATTAGGCCAGGATTTGCATGCATAGAGAAAACATTTCGAAGGGAGTCTGCTCCTCATCGTTTCGACTCCTTCTTCGGCTTTTCAATCGATGCTGCTGACTGCTGGCTGCTTGCCTTCCGAAAATTCGTAAATAAATGCATGAGCCCTGAACGCATTCTACATGCAACAAGGCAATGTAATTGATACTCCCCACCCAGCATAAGTTGTTCTTGAATCATTTTTCCCTTGCTGCCTTTTGGAAGCGAAAATTTCGTTGGAGTTGGAAGGGCAAATAACTACACAGTCACCAAATCCGGATCGCTTTCATCTGGATGTTGACAGATGAAAGTATCTTGCAAAATGTCATCTCTGAATATTTGTCTCCAAAAAAAATACACGTTAAGGAATGGCTTCTAATTGCCGATGAGCTTACCTAATGGAATTTAATTGAAAAAGTAAATTTGTATAGCTAAGTTTGGAGTCATTTGGGTCCTCAAATAAAAACAGGTCATTAAAACCAAACAACAGTTTTGTTATTTATAATAATGGACTCGAGGAAATGATTGGTGACAATATATTTATAATACATCACTTTTGAACTTATTAAACTATATATTACTTGGGATTCGTAAGGTTTTTATCTTGGTTAGAACATGATGATGATAGATTAGTAATTTAGTATTATAATACCTAATCATCAGCTCGCGTTTGACAATGAACTTCATATTAAAAATCATTAATAGATAATTTCCAAATATTTTTTCTCTGTCTGTTTCTGACTTATCGAACTAATCGGCTTACTATGTTTGCTTGCCTATCAATTGCAGGTACCACCTATACACAACCACAGAATATCAACGCCAAGTCAGTGCAGAAGACAAATCCCGCCGAGCGTCGAGAAGCCACCAGCAGGAGCAGCAGCAGCCTCAGCTGGCCAAGCATATCAGCCGAGTCAGTTGACCACCGCGGCGGCATTGGTAAGCCGGAAAAATGCGGCAAGAACTGCCAGAAGGCCAAAACCAAGAGCAAGGCCAAGGCCAAGTGGGCCAAGTGGCGGGCGCAGTTGAAGCCACATCACCAGGCCCAATCCCACCGGGCGGTGCTGCACAAGGAGGCCAGGCGGAGGCAGCGCCGCGAGACCGAGGAGGAGTTGCTGGACTCCATTCTGAGCTCCAGCTCGACCAGCACCTCCACGGCGATGGCCACCACAGTCCAGGCCATCGGCTCTAGTTCCCTGGCCACCCGGAGCTCCTTCTTCAATGAAACGAAGGTTAAGCGGCCGCGATCCACACTCCATTTGGCGCCCGAGGATATGCAGCCCAAGCGGAAGGAGCCGGTGATCATCATCGACGATGTGGAGGAGTTCGACAGTGGCACCAGCACCAGTGACCTCATCGCACGCAAGAGTCGCGAGGAGGCGGAGGAGGAGGAGGACGAGGGTCCTCTGGAGCCGCGGGTCCTGCCCCTGCGTCCCGTGCCCCCGAATCCCTACGAGGCCGAGGAGATGTCCGTGGTGTACGCCGAGCAGCACTCCGAGATCAAGCTGATGTGCGAGGTGGACCTGGACATTGCCACCAGCATGTGGTACAAGAATGGCCAGGTGAGTTGGATGGAGCGGGATAGAGGGTATGTAGGGTATATAGGGTGCCTACTCCCCATTAAAGCCCCTGCGAAGAGCCTCTCAAGCTGTCAGAAGCTGCCAACTTGTGCTGACTTTAATTGCATTCTTAGCCTTCTGCATTCCTCTGCCCACTTCCCTTCTTTTTTCTTTGTTTGTCTGCCCGGCTGTCTGTCTGAATGCTTCTGGCTTTATTCCTATTCTGGCCGAGACGTCTCGAGTGGCAGGGCTTTTGCCCTGTGTCTGACTCTGGTCCTTTGTCCCTTAACTGCCGCATTATGCAAATAGGATAATCGTTATTATTTGATAGTTTCTGATGTCAAAAGCGCTGGCAGAGCTCATCATTCGAGGGTCGCGTTTTTGCTCGATTGCCTCATTATGCAGCTACGAGGGCTTCTAATTACGACTTTTGCGATGCCAGAACGCCCACAAGTGGACTACAAATGATGGCTCGAATGGAAATTGTTTAAAAAACAGAAAACATGAGGCAAAAGTTAACCCGCCCGCAAAGCCAAAAGTTATTGAGTTGTAATTGCGAACACAAACAGTTGCAAGCACACCGGCTAAAAACCTCTCGGCTTAATGCAATTATAACAGTTTTCAGAGTTTGCCGAGTGCTAGGAATGTTTTGCACACACTTTTTGCGAAAAAATAAGTCCCCCGAGAGATAATTCTAAAAGCAGGAGGTGCAAATGCCATAGTAAGAATCAGTGCTGCCATATAATTTTTTTTGTATTTCCCAGAGGAACGATGCATATCACATATATACCCCGATTCTTATTTATTCTTTATTTACTTAGGTGCATTGCATTAGGATTATAAGACAAATTAGACTACAAAATTGAGAGCATTTAGAAAAGACAACTTTAAGTTAAGGCTGGCTGTAAACGATGCCTTTTTTTATTAGGAGAATCGCTTAAATATTTAGTTAGTTATTACAAAATTGAGAGACTTTAGCTAAATGCTGCAGAGTATACACCGAACATGCAGCATGCACGTTCAGCTGATTCAACGTTTACAACCAGCTTAAGACCCATTACATTTATTCCGGCCAGGGGTCCCTTTCAAAAGGGATATTTCTGTCCGAAAAGCGACAAGTCGGCAGCACTGATCCGCACTTTATGAACCCATGCAATTTGGCTTTCAAGCCTCACAGCAAAGTTGGTAGGCCAGCGACTGGGTGCAAATACGTGTGGGCCATAACCGAGCCAAGCCCACTTGCAGGTGTAAATACAACAAGCTGGCAGGCCAAGTTGTGGATGGGCAAATAATAGTTGCAACTAACACGGCAACAGCAGCAACAGAGTGGCAGCCACCAGCAGCAATGCCACTTTGCGTACGTGTCGGAGCTATTTGTTGTTGATGTTGCCGTTGGTGTTGCTGTTGCTGTTGTCTGTGGCAGTTAACTGGCTCCTGTTGCCCTTGCACTTGCAATCTGCAACTGGGAACCAGCAACCTGCAACCTGCAACGAGCAACCTGCAACCCGTGTTGCTGGTGGAAAAGAGTTGCATACTTGTGGGCAAAGCTGGCTAACATTGTTAGGGCCACAAGCTGCGATTGTTTGCCTACTTGTTGTTATTTGCATTTTCATGCCATATTGGATTCCGTTGGAAGCCACTAAATTGCCTGTCAGCAGTTTGAACTCGGGATTGCCGGAAGCGTCAGCAATGTGATTGCATTTACATTAGATTTTATTTGGCGTGAAATGTGTCAAATCCTGCGAATCCTGTGATACTTTCGCATACAGGGTATACCGCGTTAACCGCGTTGTCTCGTCTGGCAATTTGTTGGCTTTATAGTGCCATATTTTTTGCCCGGCGACAATTGCCAGACATAAACCTTAACCCGGCAACAGAGTCAACGGAAAGAGGTCTTTTTATGGTTGCAGCCGCCTTGTTGCACACTTTGTGGCCCTGGCAAGCTTATTTATGGCCCGGGTCTCAGGTTTAAGGTCAACAAACCCGCCTGGCTGGCATAAATCCCATCTAGCTGCGCCCCGATAAGCCTCCATTAGTCAATTAGCAGCGAAGTTAAGACGGGGCATTAATAGGCAACTTGGCCTCCCAGAAGCCCTGATGCAACCGAGCAACTGAGCAACTGAGAGCGTAAATCACATCAAGCCGGCAAATTAATCAGTCAGCCTCAGAAATCCCAAATGAAAATGAGCGACAATGCGGTGCCACTTAGTGGGGAGTGGAGTGAAGAGGAGTGGAGTGGTGGGAAAAGTCGGGAAAGCGGGTCTTAAGTTGCTAACACGCCGTCTGCCTTGTACCTTTGACAAGTTTATTAAGTTAGTTACAATGTCGACGCTGGTCGACTGCTGCTCCTGCCAACTCTGAGTGCTCCGATGGCAAATAAAATCAACGCCAATGCAGCAGCAGCAGCAGCAACACCAGCAGCAGCAGCAACATCCATCGTATCTCGCATCTCCGTCTGCCATCGCAGCACATTTCCCAGCGGTGCAATTGTATTAGTTGTGTTAAAACAAAAGCCAGCCATGTGTAAGCGCCGAAGAAGAACGGAATGAGGATGAGGATGAGAATCAGGATGAGGTGGAGGATGAGGATGGGAATGAGGATGAGGATGAGCAGTGGCATCGCGGAGCGGGAGATAGAGCAACAGTAACGAGCAGGCTGCGGCAATTACAACAATGATGCGGCAACAATGTGTGCGAGTGAATGTGTTGCAGGATGAGGAGCATTCGCGTAAGCCAGCATGTCGTCATGTGAATGCTCTTTCTGTTTGCTGAATTCCAACTGCAATCTATAAGAGAATTGCAGAAAAAATTATCAACAACATTAACATAGTCCTCTTGCAATATAAGTTTAGAAGAAACACACCTGCAACACACAGGAAAACGAAGAAACTCATACTCGAAACCCAACCATGAACATACAAAAGAAACCATACAGAAGAATTAAAGTCGCAAAATACTAAGAAAAACCTGAATAAAGGTGCCCAGAAAACCCCTCATCAATAATAAAGAAAAGTATAGCAAAAGCTTAGCAAAGAAATCAAGAAGAAACCCAGCAGAAATATAAAGAAGAAACAAACCGAAAAGAAATGATACAGAATTAGCCACCAACAGCAACATACAGATGAAACCCCACAGCAACATATATCAGCTCAAGCCAGTTTTACCCAAGCAAAGCCTCTAAGTTCTTTGGTCTGGAGAAATATATATTTTTCGTGATTATCCCCAGTTGCTCCATGTGCCCATTGACTTTGGTCTCTGCCCCCATACAACCCACTGCCTCCATTTACTCCACCTACTTCTGCCTCCATCGCATTGCAACTGCGGCAATGACATGCGACAAGTGTTGCACTGACAGCTTGCAACATGAGCGACTTTTGTTGTACTTTCTAGAGCGTTGCACAATGCATTAGAGTCCCCGAGCGGGAACAACAGCCAAAGGAGTTCATCCCAGTCAGGAGCTGGGATGCAGGATCCAGTATCCAGCATCCTGGACCCCTTCCACCCACTTCGGGTGTCTGCCTGTGTGAGTGCCAAGGAATTTATTGTTGAAAATTATCAAGAGGCTAATATATTTGCCGAAAGCAATTTCAAGTTAGTGGCTGGGGGTCGCAGCAGGATGGGGCAGATAGCGCGACAGTCAGTGAGCAATGTTGGCTGACAAGATTTTTGCAATTCCGAGCAAGTGATAGATATAAGTAGCCATTTCGCCCTGCTCCTTGGGCTCCACTTGAAGGAAATAAGCGTCTGTTTGGAATGGTTGGCGCTGAAGGAATGTCCTTTTCGTGCAGGAGCAGCAGTAGCAGCAGCAGCATGCAGCTAATTGTCAGCGAACGTCAATGAAGTGCCTACTCAAATAAAGCATTTATTATATTTTTCATTAAATAAAAGAATGTGCATTTTTGCGGGGGGTCTAAAATAAAACAGGAAAATGTAAAATATAAATTTGCATTATTATTCATGCAGACGGGGAAAACAGGGGCTTTTGGACAAAAATTAAATGTAAATCGCGAATCGCCGAAAAGTTTGCCAACAATGCAATTAGAGTATTACAAAACCCTCAACTGTCCACCGATAACGTGGCCGCAAATTATGCAAAGTTATGCGTGCGCGCCTTCAAAATATTCAGCAATTTATGCGAATCGCCGCAGCTGACAACACAGATGCAACCGCCCCCAACGCCCTTCCCCACTTTCCCCTAGAAAAACAAAAGCGGCTGAATTCATAATTACCCGAAAACAAAAACGCAGCCAGAGGATCGCCAACAATGGAAGGCCCGAAACAATCGAGCGTGTAATCCGGCCCAAACGCTCGACGCTGTAAACAAGGATTTGCCACGCTCATTTAACGCTTTTGTCCGGCGGCCATGTTGCCAAACCAGAAAAATCCAACACGAACAGGTGCCAAAGGCCTGGACTCTCGACACTGGACTCTGGACAGTGGACACTGGACACTGAACACTAGCCGGAGTGGAACTGGATGCAGTGGATGTGGATGTGGATGCCAAAAAGCCTCGGATCGCCATCGACCTCATAAATTTCCAACTGAATGCCCCGCTGCACAGCCACGCAAAATCCAGTTTCCACTTTGCCAGTCGCCAGTTTGCCAGTTTGCCATTGCCATTTTGCCAGTTGCCAGTCAAATGCGTCGCTGGTTAATAAATTTTCTGCAAATGGCCATTGCGGCGACTGCGGCAAATGCGCGCCGGAAGTCGCCACACGCACACATCGATTCCGAGCGGCGCTTTTTTTTCGGGGAGGGGCGGGGTGCTGCCCCTTTTTGGGAAGTGAAATTCATATACGCATAAATATTTGCACTGCATTTGAAAAATATAAACACCAAACGAATCGTAAGCTGAAACAAAAACTGGACATGACAAACGCACAAACGGAACCGGAAGTGCACCAAACAAATATTCTGTTTACAGATTTTTTCACGGATTTTCTATTACATGTTTCTTTCGTTATTTTCCCATTCAATATTGCATTTTTTGGGTGTTTGGCTATATATTAAATAGAAAAGGTTTTGGGTCCTATTTTTGAGGGGCTTACGCTGAATATCCTTTTATTTAAATAGCAGTGGCCCAGAAAATAGGTTTAGGGGTTAAAAATTTAAATAAAACAGGTGATTATGGGTGTATTGTAGAAAATTTTGAGCAGAGAGAGCAGGGTGTTCATTTAAAGTATTGGTTTTCTTAAAAGAAGCAATTGTAATAAGGTGACTCTTTTCCCTGACTTCAATATGTCTAATTAGCAATGGATTTCAGCAGTTAGTTTCCACATAAATACTGAAATACTTAGATCATTAAGGTGAGTTACCCAGTTGATGGGAGAGTGTATAGCTTGGCAATTTAATTCGCCTCAGACAGCTCCCTTTTTTTATTTGGTCAGGCTTAATCCAAGTCCAAAAGTTAATCTCTACCCCTGCAAATGCAATTAAAATTGTGTTTCATTTATGGCCGCCCCCCGCTGACCGCGTTCTTTTTAGCCCGACATTTAATTGGCACTTAAACGCATTAAGCGTGCGAAACATTTCCACATATATTCATATCTTTTTTTGTGGCATTCCTCATAATTTTTATTCGTGCTCTGCGGCTGAAGCATTTGAATGCGCACATAAATTTCCGTTTGCATTAAGCCAGCGGGCAGACAGACAGGCAGCGGGATGGCCAGCAACTATTGGTAACAGTTTTTAAGCCGCCAGTTCATTGTTGCCACATTACCAGTGGATAACATGTGTGTGTGTGTGTGTGTGTGTGGGGGTGGCTGGTCCATCGTCCTCATTTAATTGTCATTACGAGTATTGTGTTTGTTTGAAGCGAACGAAATGTAATAAAATTCCAGCGAAGCCCAAGTGTAAATAAATGGATATGAAAACATTAAATGCAATTGTTGCTGCAGGGGGAAGGGGGGGTTGGAATTGCATTTAACGGGAGGATTTATGGGCATTTAATGCGCTGCATTAAAAGTTTCAAAAGGCGCTTTGCATAATTCCGCCAGTGACATTAGTTTTAACGCCGCACAAACTTATCCCTGCGATCTCGTCTTCCCCTCTTCTCCCCCCTCTTCCAGGTGGTGCACGCCATGGACCGCACCGCCCGCGTCACCGACTACCGCTTCATCAAGGAGGCTAATGGGGCACTAACCATCACCAACGTGATGCTCGAGGACGACGGCAAGTGGCAGTGCGAGGCGGAGAACACGCGGCGCTACACGGAGAACGCCCGACCCGTCAAGCTGGTCGTCCTGGGTGAGTATCCTTGCCCCATTTCGCAGGGACAGTCACGACCTGGCCAACAGCTTTGCGAAAATATTCAAGAGGTCGTTCCATTTGCCAAATTAGCCGGCGACGCGGCCAAGTTAGGGAATGTGGTGGCGCTTGCCATAATGCTCGCTTTTATGGCCAAAAAGCATTCGTGAAATTAAGATAGGGCCATGCTCTCCAGAATGGTAAACAAAGCGGTTTACACTTCAAAATTAAACGAAATTACGCTTTCCAATCACATTCAAATCAAATCATCTTTACTTTAGCAAGATGTCTTAATTAGTGCTTACTTTTTATTTCCATTTTAGCTATATATTCAGATAATCATGTATTTATTTCGATATTATTAGTAAGGCACAATAAATCTAATGCTAGCCATAGTCTAGTTATTATTGTAATTTTTTTCAAGTATCTTTAATATATTCTAAATACTACCATAAAACCAATGGCGTTTTCCAAATAAAAGAACCCAGTGTGGTAAATGAAGTGTACAAATATAAGTTTTCCTTGTGATTTGAAGAAAAAACTATATAGATAAAGAAGTAAAGGCACACACAATATTTGTTTTGGTGATAAATTTTTTTTTTTAATTTAGTGCCAAACAAAAAATACAAAATATATAATTAAAAGGAAAAAGAGCCCACAAGAAAGTATACTTTAGTTCCCAATCAATATAATGATGATGCTTGAATGTTTAAAGTGGTGTTACTATTCTTTTTTTTTAATAAATACATGAAATAATAAACTAGATCGTATATAGATTTCCATTGACTTTCTGTACTTGTATCCACTCCATAGATCGTCCCAAGCCGCCGTATCTGCTAATCGATTCGCGGCGCCTGGATGCCAGCAATTTGTTCGTGCCCGTGAAGGAGAACTCGGAGCTGAACCTGGCCTGCGTCAGCGAGGGCGGCAACCCGCGACCCACGCTCACCTGGGAGGTGCTCCTCAGTCCAGGTGTGGACCGGCATGCCCAGAAGGTATCCGCCGAGGTGCTGGAGCTGGAGGAGATCAAGGGCGAGAAGGTAAGCCGGGGTAATGCATTGAACCCGATGAGTGACAAGTGGCGGTCCGTCCGAATGGGATTGGTAATGGCTGTTTGGAGTTGGAGTTGGAGTGGAAAAACCACAGCTTCGCCGGCCGGCAAACACATTAGGTGTGGCCAACAGCGGCTCCCGGCTCAAACAACGGCTCTTCCGGACGGCTGACTGGACATAGTTTGCGGTTGGGCCAAAATTTGTTTGTCTTGCACTCGAGCATAATGAAAAGCAGACATTTTGGTCGAGCAATGCAGGAGTTTAGTCAGCTCGACGCAACTCGCACTCACTTGCCCCCCACTTCCACCTGTCAAACACACATCCACAGGCGATGTCTTGTGTGTGTTTGTCGCTCGGACCCTAAAAGCCACAAATTTGCGTGTTCGGCTGGTCACAAACCTAACCTCATACCACCCACACCCGCACCCACAGACACACCAACACCCACAGCCACACCCACACCCACAGCCACACCAACTCCGCCCCCCGATGATTGATTGAAAACTGTGCCAACAAAATTTCCATGCAAAAGCCACAGTCGGTGGGTGGTCCACCGTCCATAGAACACTGTGAGGTGGGTGTCCTTGCCCTTGGACTTTAATTTAAATTAATGATGTCGCGCTGATAACAGGCCTGACTAATTGGCCACCCGATACGCCGCCTGTCATTTGGCCCAATTTGCCAGAGTTTAGCATCAAATTTGAATGGGAATTTTATCAAGTTCCCTTTCGTTTGCAGGTCGACAAAGATGGCTACAAAATCAACAGTGGCGCGAAGAGCGAGGCCCGTTTGCCGGCGGTCTATAGAGCCCATCACAACGCTCGGATCCTGTGCGTCATGGAACATCCCACTCTCAAGATTCGCCAGAACGCCTCGCTTTTGCTGGATGTCCAATGTAAGATCAGATATACTCAATATAGATTTTGCTGAATTTTCACGAGAAGTTTTCTAATATCTTAAACATCTTAAATATCTATACTTTCTTTATATTCTGTAATATGTACCACAAACTCTTAGTAATTTTTAATTTTCTATCTTAAAATACCTGTTTTTATTTAAAGAATTTTTTAATTTAATTTAATATACAACAATTCTGTTAAAAATGCAGATTAGGTAGACTAAAAGAACCTCAATCACAGTTTTAAATTAAACTTTAAGAACTTTTTTTGACCGAAAGTATTAAACAATAAATATTGCTAGACAACCAAACAATTTATGATTACAATTTTGAAGCTTATGAGTTTTACATTTCATATTTATGTAGATACTTTAGCCAATGAACCCCTTCAATGATTGAACAGATTAAAATATATACATTTCTGAATTAAGGTAAATTTTCTGAAAAAAGTCTTATTCATCACAGCTTCAATTTTCCTAAAAACAATTCCACAATTCAGTAAGCACTACCTTTATGCAAGAAATGACAAATCCCTCAGTAAGTCATCATGTTAAGGTCAAAAAAAGTTTTTAATAAAACGCAAACAGAGCGTATATCTCACTTTGTTTAATTACCTCAAGAAGGGCAAAAACCGAGAGTGGAATGATGTAAATAAAAGTGAAAACCAAAAAGTAAATGTTGATTGAAAAGTTAAATTGCCAAAGTTAACACACGCCACAAGCCGGGACAAGAGCTATGGCCAGAATGGCAAGCTGAGGGCGACTTGGGCAGGGAATAAAACAACAGGGAAAATTATTATGCAGCTGCAGTGAAAAAAGTCAGCCGAGTAACTGAAAGCAAAGGTGAAATTATATTAATTGAAACAGCAAAAAAAAAATAAGACAAAGAAAAATAAAATCAAATTGCAATGAAACTGGGCGAAGGCTGGTGAAAGGAAAAGCGCGACAGTTGGGAAAAGGACGCCTACGAACAATTGAAATGCAAGGAATAAAAGCTGCAGAGAAAAGAAGTGAATTAATGGAAAGTCGAGACCCGAGAGGATTGCTTGGCTCTCAATTAGCTTAAAAATAAGAAGGTGTCGAAGAAAAGGAGGATATATTAAATGGACAGCGCTGTGGTTTTTATTTCCATGGAAGAAAGTATTTATTTCGCCTTAAACTTAAATCTATAGAAAACATTATTCTTCGATCGTTACCTCAATATCGAGATTATCGATGAGAAATAAAATATTCAAATGCTTTTATATTCTCTTGCAGAGGGTATTATGATTATAAATAGAGCTGCTTTTTCCTAGAGGATTTGGAACAATTTAATTTCTCACCGATTTTCGCTTTTTAGTTACAATATAATTATTTGCAAAAATGCCAATAGATTGAATATTGTATAACGAATTCAAACGAAGTATGACACTTCATCATTTAAAAATTATTTTTCATGGTTCTAAGCCAAAAAAATCGAAAAACGTGTATGGTTTTATACAGCTTTCATGCATTTTCGGTGTGACTGCAAGAGTATTAAAATTTCCGCCAGGCGAAGCAATCTTCTTTTGTCGTTATGCATAAATTGATAATTCTAAACAAATTGAGTTCCATGGTCAAACTGTATTTGATTGTTTGGGTACACTCAAACCTCCCAATTGCCAACCAAATGCCGGCTGAGATGATTCCATCCGCACAACAATAGGATCACTTTAAAGAAGACCCTGATTCAAGCCTGATTCGTGGGCCACCCAGGTGGACACATGCAAACATGCCACCGGCAGCCACAACAAAACCGGGAAATAAAGATAGGAGTTCTGTGGGCACCGCAAAAGTGACGCAACTGGACATGCAATTGGGAATCAATGCCAATGGCCCGGTCGATGAGGCGAGGCGACAATTGGAAGACTAGCACTAATTGGCAGCAAAAAGCCGCACACACGTTCTGGCCACCAGGACATCAGGCACATCAGGTCCTGGCCCTGAGGAGGGTCTCAATCAGCGCCAGGATCCGGGGACGAACCACAGTTATTTGCTTTATTAATGCCCGTGAAGCCGCATAATGCCATGACAAATGCCCAGGTAGTGGAGAGCCCATGAAAATGATTGGAAAATATAGAAAAGCCGTGTGGGATTTGCATGGTAGAGAGTCCTTGATGTTTTCGTTTGTAGGTGTGTGTTGTTAGTCTCTGGGTGTGTGTGTGTGTGAGCTTTGGCTTTGGCCAGGCATGAAAATTGCAAAAACCGCAATAACAACAGCACAAGGCCTCAAACAATAATAACAGCAGCAACAAGAACAACCGCAACGTTTTCCGGGTTCAACAAAAGAAGGAACAAGTTCGTCCTGTTTTTCCTTTTATTATTCCCGCTCCCTTTCTTGCGCCTGTATAAATTAAAATGCACACACATGAGAGCATTTGCCCGGGCCATAGACATTGTATCCGCATCCCAGCTCGTATCTGTAATGCTGGCTGCGTTTAATTTGCGCATTTTTATGCAGACAGTTGACAGGCAAATCAAGGACATGTACAGGGATCACTGCCCACCGAAATGCTGAAGAATTTAAGTTGGGAAAAATCAACTAAAAGCCTCAAAGGAAATATTTTGGTTTCCATTTAAATTAGAACCATCTACTGCCCATATTTGCCCTTTCAATTTGAGCAATTTCAAAAGATGCCAATGTGCATATGTTATTTAAAACTGACCGTTTGTTTCAAAAACATTTTCCACAGTAATTGCTTGAACTTTTGCCTGAAAACAATATGCCCAAACAGTTAAACAATTTCCAGGCGTTTGTGGGGCCCATTTTGAGTCAACAAATTGATGGACCACGTATGTATTCCCCTGTCCATTCATAAATATGTATGACGCCCGACGACTGACGGCTGTCTGCCAGTCAAATACAAAAATACATACCGGATCCGAAGCTCTATTGAATAGTTTGGCAAACAACCGACAAACAAATTTCATTTGTCCCTTGGCATCTGCAGACCCATTCCAAGCGCCTAATCAAATTGTATTAGTTACAAAAGGGTACAAAGGCGACTGGTGCGCCGAAAAATTGAAAAGATTGAAATGGATGCAAGCCCATTTTGGATAGCATATTTTGGCCAGACCTGCCAAATGGCCAGTACTAATTAAAAAACATTTGATTTATGCCTATGAATATGCATTGAATGGGAGTGCAAATGTCTGCATGGCAAGGGCGATCCCATTATTTACATTTACATTTAGATTCACATTTTGTCGATGGCTTTTTGACATGCACTGAATGGATTTGTGATTGGCAGTTTGGGATTGAAATCGAAGTTGTATTTTGAATCGAATATCGAATTACTTTTGGCAAAACAGGAGTGAGTTGTGGCTGATAAAAATGAAGAGCACAAAATGCGCTAAAATTGTGAATGGCTGCCTGAATTCAATGCCTCTAACTAAGTAATGTTGACGGCGAACTCGGAATTAAACGCTGTTGTAATTGACACGCGGTTCACTGGTAATTGAATGATGTCAGGTTGAACCTCAGATTTAATTAATCAGTTACTATTTCAGAGTCAATTGCACATCAAAAATAAGACAGCATTTAAATTAGTTGTTTAGAAATATTTCAGAAATATTGTGTATATATTAGGGACTGAATATAATTTTTGTGCTTTTCTTTAAAATAAAGAAAGTAATTGAATTAAACCATTTGGTTACTATCTGAATAGCCTTTTTCAGTCCGCAATGATCATAATTTCATAATGCTTTTTTGTTTTTTTTCATAGAAACAATTACGGTCCCTGTTAAATTTGACCAAACTTGTCACAGAAAAAAGGGCAAAGACGGCTTCTTGATATATGTTATCACACAAAATTATTATTTTAGATTAACAGACACTTTGGAGCTTTTCTTAATTTAAAACTCAAATAAGAAATCCTCTTACAATTCGAGTAACTATTACCGCTTCCTTATTTACCTTTAGACAGCCCAATACAGACAAGATTCACCACTCCGAGTCTAACATTTGCATTTAGTTTAATTATAAAAGTTTTTCTTTCTTGCCTTCGGTTCGTACCCCTTCTTTTGAGTAATTTTTTAATTAAAAAACTATTTTGTTGATGTTGCCACAGTCTAGTCGGTGATGGCGCCGAAAATCTGCAGAAAAGTCAAGCCGAAATAACCATCTGTCCCCGTTGCAGACACGCCCTCCTTCGCCATTTCGCGCACACCTGGCTTCGGTTATCCACTCCGCGAGGGCATCGAAGTTAGCCTCAAGTGCGACGTCGACTCCAATCCCCCGAGTACTCCGCGCTGGCAGAAGGACGACGGTGACACGCCGGTAAGTTTGGGGACCCTGAAAGGATGCACAGCAAAAAGATTGGACATTTTGAAGTCCGATTTTGTAGGTTCTAAGCATTTCAATACGCAAATCGAATTTTAATGTGTTATATTCAGTTATTATAAGGGAATAAGTTAAAAATGTAATAAAATCAAATCTTTTATTTTGGTAAATTTTTACTTACAAAGATCAGATACAGATTAACCTTATAGCTAACAGAAAAAACGTCATTAATCCTAAGAACATAACTGCTTTCCATCAATCACATATAAATAAAACAACTTTCAGAAATTAAAAACCTATCTTTTCAGTTCTTGAACGGAGCTAAATATAAAATTGAAAAATAAAATTAGAGTAACGAATTTGTATATGTTTACAGATTTTTAATTAGTCAAAGGAAAATATCTTTAAATTATTTTTTTCTTAGGCAAAAATAATGATATTCATTTTATTAGCTAAAAACCAAAACCTTATTTTTTTCTGTGTATAAAAAAAGAGTGGTGGCCTAGTGCATTCGTAGGCCGCCCATCGGAGTTCGGCCTTTTGTGTGATTTTTGGGTAAGGAGCAAGTTTTAAATGGATTTTCGTGCAGTTGTCGCTACCTTGCCGAGCCGAAACTTGTGCGAAACTATTTGCCTTGCCTTAATCACCAAAAATTGTTTACGCATAACGAGCCAAACTCATTTCCCATTTCCCCGTTTCCCCATTTCCCCATTTCCACGCCGAAGTGCTAACATTCTGATTTGCCATTTCTCGATTATTGCAGGTGCCGCAAACGGGCGATGGTTTCCTCAACTTCACCTCGATAAGGCGTGAACACTCCGGCTGGTACAAGTGCACGTCCCGGCACCTCAACTTCCAGTACTCGTCGATTGGCTATTACCTCAGTGTGCGATGTGAGTATTACTCCCACCAGCAAAGCCCGTAAATTAGACCGCGTATGCGTGAAATTGCCTTAAAATGGCGCGTGATAATATTTTGCCCATTAGTTTGTGCCTGTAAAATTACTTGTAACACCCCTTGAAAACCCTCGACTCACAAAAAAAAATGAACAGAAATCAGCGAACATTTTACGACACTCGCACATGGCGCTGAGGACAATATTCGGTGTGATTTTTTCGGGGATGTTCCTGCCACTTTTCGAGGCGCCTTGTGGCGCCACCCTCTGTCATATGCAAAATGTGGCGAATTTCATTGGCATTGGCATTGGCATTGAGTGGGTGTCTGCCCCCCTTCGCTTTTCCTCTACTATTTATGCTTACGCGCCATTTTGCTGTCAATATTTTCTCGTTTGCGGGTTGGGCTTTATATTTTTTGGGTCTGAGGAATATGGCACTTTATGCGCTCAACGCGTGTTAATGCTGGTAAATATTTTTATTGAATTTGCTACTCTGACAGGCGGCCTAAAAGCAGCCATCAAACCGCCAAATCAAATTATATGTCTAAGGGAAAACTCATTTGCAGCCTCATTAGGCGGCAAATGCAATCGAAGAAGCTCAAGAAATCGGAAACTGCACTGCCACTGCTGCTAGACCAGAAATCCATCCAATCTACCCCCTAAACTCACTCATCAATCATGGCCCAAAAAGAGGCGAAAATCCAACTAGAGAAATAAAATATTGGTAATAACAACTTGACAAAGTGTTGGCACTTTTTTATGCCGACGCAGGGATCACAAGATGGGCCTCGTCCCAGGGGAGAGATTTTTTTCGCCACTCCTGACAGCAGCCTGTCGTTGCTCATTATGGGGAAAACAAATGCTTTATTAATAAAAACCAAAAAAAAGGAAAAAGATGGAAAAAGATCCGAAAAGGCCAAGAAGTGACGGAGACGGCCGCTCCATCGACATTATCGATGATTGATGGGGGCCGCCAGGAACGAAAACTTTTCCTCCGCATTTTCCAGCGAAATCTAATTGTGAGAGACGCTGAGCTGGCAACATGTTAAGCACATAAATCAATTTGTAAAACGTTTTATCGAACTGGAACTCCTGTCGAAGGGAACAAAAACAAACTGCCGAAATGGCAGATCCAACTGGCAGCAGTCGGCATCTAAACCCCATTTGTGACAACAGGCGTCGTTCAATATATGTGCTATACGTATAAGATATGGTAGCGGCAAAGACACGACTTGCCTGTCATAAACTATAAAACAGCTGCACGACCCATGATAAATGGCGGCTGGAGAAGATTTTTGAGAGGAGAATGGCACAGAATTGAAGTCGGGAAAAAAAACTGATAAATCGCATTTAAGTGAGGGGAGCTACGAGAATCCCAAATCCCAGACAGACGTTTGAATGCGGGCTTAATTGCTGACGATATGTTTCCTCTTCGCCGTCTCGAATCTCGCCATTGAGCTGGAAAATGGTGGAGAACACAGGTAGCAGAGCAGGGAAAAAACTTTGCTGTCGACAACAACGAGGACAACGCTGACAAACTGCAATGAAAAAGCAATCAGCGATGCCCAACCAAAAGCTATGGGAACAGCGAAAAAGTGTGGGGGGATTGGGGAAAAAAGCGGAATCCGGAATGCGGAGGACCCACAAAAGTAGGCAATTTGACGCAGTTGCTCAAAGTTTTCTGCGCCGGCCACTTTCGCGTGATTGATTCGGCCGTCGTCTGGAGGCCTCAGTACCCGTAACTCAGGACGAAGGACGAAGGACTCAGGGCACAGGACTCGGCGAGCTTGTTAAAACGTCGCTAATTTGACACGTACGTCAACAGGAGCGAACGTCGAGCGTGACTCCAAGGACGAGTATAGAAGACCTGGCCTAAAACTTGTTCGAAGTCAGGAAAACCGTTCAGGTATAAGCCTGGCCCATTGACCAAAGTTCTGTTTGCCAGCCTCATTAATGAGTTAAAGTTCTCATTGGGGCTAATTAATGTTGAGTGGCTTGTATGACGTTCGGTCGAACAATGTGCAATTAGTGAAAGTTTCCCAAGTCTAGCAATATGGCACACATGTCCTTCATAAACTTCGTATATCGTATGGGTGTGTGAGATACCAGAGTTGGTTTAAATTGTGGCTGGCCTATTAAGACTAAGCCATGGAATGTAGGTGAAGCATATATATAACGATTTAAAGGCTTAAAGGTGGGGCTTTCATTTGAGTCATAACTTGTTTTTAACCTAGAGTAGCATTGAACATGCTGGTTTAGTAAAATTAGTAGAATTCTAATTAAATGCTTTATGTAAAGGGAAATGGAACTTCTTTCACAACTTTTCAAAGTCATACCCTATTAGCTTTCAGATACATCTTAAAAAGAAATGTTAAAATGTTGTTTAATTTCAATGTTGCTTAAAAGCTTTTTAAAGAATATAATTTTTTTATTTTTTATGAATTTAGCCCTGTAGAAAAAAGTTGCAAACTAAGGTTGATTCAGCCATAGCTGCGTAGACTTTTGAGTATAATTTCAAAAGAGTACTTCTTGTACTTAACTGCAGAAAGTAGTTTCATCTATTTAAATCTTATGAAAATGTCTTTCAAGGAACATTTTTCAAAGCCAATCACGAAATCGAGTATAAATTTGATTTTCGAGGAGTTCAATTAAAATCACAGGACGACAGGAATTGCTTAACAGCCTGATATCCTCAAGAGACGCTTTTGCGGTTAACCCAGCCCCGAAATCCGTGTGCAAATTGCATTCGCCTCGCACTGAACTAATTTGGCCAGCCAACTGTCAAGAAAATGCACCACCACCACAACAAGGACTCTGCCACATTGTCAACCACTCAGGAGGAGAAACAAACACAGCTCTTCAAGTAGGAAGAAAACGAGTCCCAGTTGGGCGGGACACTCGAGCCGTGCCGAAATGAAGGCGAATTACAATAAAATTTAATTCTACACGCTATCGTAAGCATTTTCATTGCGAGCCATTTCTTACGCCCCAACTCAGCCGATTGGCAGAGTCCTGGGCCATGTTATCCATTATCCTCTGTCATGCTGGTTATCGCGGTTTAACTTTATTGTTTATTTCGTCCCTACCCTTATAAGATGTCCCATGTCCCATGTCCCATGCGCCATCTCCATGTCCATGTCCATGTCCTGCTCCTTGTCCTTTGGCCAACTTGAATTTCTGTGTTTATCGGCGCGCACGATTATTAGTTTTTTTGTTTGCTGCCTTTGTTTTTATAGCCGGCGATTATGTTTCGGTATGTGTGGAGGGTCGCTCGTCCTTGGGCAAAGATTTTCAATAAAATTTTATTTGTCGTTGCCTCAAATGAAACCGAATCTCATTTGGACGGGGTCCCTTTTTTTTTGTGCTGGGTTCGCAACTTAAAGAAATATTAAAAACTCATTGCGAACAAATGTCTTTGAGTAAAGTATTTTTTATGGCCACAAAGTTTTCTCTTCGCTTCGATGGCATAAACGTAAATTTGTCGAGAGATTATCTTTTATGGATATGAAGCAAGACAAAGTGTCTTCGACTGAGCCCCTCCAATTTGCATTGCCATCGCCCCTTTTGCTCAAAAAGAACCCGATATCTACTGCAATTCCCCTAGCATCTCACATCCACTGCCATCATCTTCAATTTCAACTCATTGCAAATTAATCGCGTGTTCGCTGAAAGTCTTGGAAATTCCTCGGGCTGCAGGGAAAAATTAAAATTTATAACCAAGACACAAATGCAATCACTGCAGCCCGAGTTTACTCTCTGCCGCTTCCGCTGGCTGTTTATGCAGCCTGTAAGTTAAGCTGATTGTTGCCGGCGATGATGATGATGATGATGATGCTGCATCTCGCCGGCCTCCTTCATATTCATGACTAACTGCGAAGATGAAGAGCCAGCGGAAAAAATGCAAATTAATCTCGGGGTGGGCAAGGAGGGCTAATGAAAATTGCAAGCGAAAAAAAAGCAGCTAAAATACCCTTCCGTTGGAAATTTAATTCTTCATGTATAGCATTTTTCAAACCACCCCTCCTCCATCGAGAGTGAAAGTTTGCAGTTTGTTGAAGGATTTATGGATCACGCTCGGCCGTCATATTCACACTTTGGACAGGGGCTAGGATGTGTCGACACTTCGATACACTCCGTGAGGGTTCGGCAGTTCTCAGGGGATCCCTGGAAGTGACAGGCCAACACCATCCACCCATCGGACGGGATCCTTGAAGGCGAAACGCCAACATGGCTGATGATGATGCGTTATGATTAATGATTGGTGGCCAGAATCGGGCATGCTCTTCAGTCTGCCCCGGCATATTGATTCTCCTTTGTTTGCCGTAGTATTTGCTGTTTGCCCTTCATATTTGCTGTTGTTATGAGTTGGGATTTATTCGAGTGTGCTTCATCGTGGCGCCCCCCAAAAAGATATGCGGCAAGAAGCGCTTTTCCCCCTTTTCCAAAAGGCCTTTCTCTCTCAATCTCGTTCAGTGTCGCCATATGGGCGGTACTCGATGCCCATTTGTTTGCCTTTGTTTATTTGTTTTCCTTTTGCTTATTCCAGAGTGCGTGGAGGTGTGGGAGGACACTTTTATGAATGGCCATTCAGTAAAATATGCGTGAAACAAGTGCCGAAATTATGAATGTGAGCATGAGCGTGAGTGTGTGTTAGTGTGTGTGTGGAAAACTTGGGAAAATATTGAAGGAGTTTGTTTTTTGGGGCGGAGAAAGGAATCGATTTCTAAGCTGAGTGCAGAAAGAGTGTGAGCGCCTAATGTGTCATTTAATGATGTTCCTTTCACAGTCTTCTCCCTTACATTTACCCATTTCTTTTTCGGCAACAAACAGAAAAACATCAGTTTCATATTGTCAACTTTGCCCTTCAATTGAATAAGGGAGATTTTTACAATTTGATTCACTGAAATAAAGACTTTTTAAGACTAAAAGGTAAATTCTGTGAAGATAAAAAATAACTACTAGAGTGGCTTTTTCTAAAGTTTTCAATTCAATTATCTATTAAAGAATGTTGTTTACATCTTTAAAATTTCCAAGAAGGATTGGATTTTAGTGTAGACGGTAATTTTCAAGCTTTTTTTGTTTTTACAATTTTTAAAAGGAATATAAATAAATAAAATAGAAACATACGTCGCTAATCCTCAAACTTTTCCAAAGAAAAAGGTTAGCTAACAATAAAAAATAAACTAAGCAAAAATATCAATGGCTTTAAAACGCTTACCCCTTTACCAAAACCTTTAAAATCATTTTTCTCAAACAAGAAATATTATTTTAATGTATCGAAAGGCATGTTACAGATATGAGCCAAATTGATGGGCAATTTCAACCATTTTTTCAGCCTCTAAGAGTCTGCTTATAGCCACTTCTCTTATCGCAACGCCTCAGAACACGCCGCCAGCTTTTGGGCAATGACAAATGTCTGTCAGTTGAGCCGAGACGAGCTGAGCTCATTAGACATTTTCGCCGAGGCTCCGGGACAGAGGGTTCTTATTTCAGTGAAGACTGCACCAGAATACAAGTACTCGTACTCCGCGATTCCAATTCCGATCCCCTGCTGGCCATTGAAGTTGTCAATTTGAGCGACGCCGCCCTTGTCCGCCTTTGTGTTGGGCAATAAAAAATTTTATAACTACGTGATTTTGACTAAGTAACACGCCCGTCCGCCGAGGGGAGGACTTTTGCCATTGTCAGCAATAAAACTCTGGTCGAGGGGTTGATTGACATGCGACGAGGGGTCTCTATGGTGAAAGGAGCTTACAATTAATTGTCTCAGTTCCCTCCTCATTCGAAGAAAACCCCCCCCGTCAAATCACAGTTCTCAGAACTTTGGGGACTTCGCCTTCGATTAAAGTTGCTCGCGGCTCCCCCGGTAATTAGTAGTTTGTGTTAATTGTGCGGCTCACTTTTGGGTCTGCTAATTTGACGGTCGCCCCGAGGAGCAATTCAAGGTGGTGATTCCTGAGGTTTCGCCCCGGCATCATGCACTTTGTCAGGCTCAGGGCCTTTGTCGCCATCATCGCATTTTTTCTCCGCCAGGTCGCCACTTGGCAACTTATTGTTATGATATCCGGTGGCAGACAAAGGCGGGTCCTGGCCGCATACTTTTAGGCACATGTCAGGCAAATTGTTATTTATACCGTAATATGAACGGCGCCATAAAGTACACCGCACAAAGGACGTCCTGAAATTTAAAGCCAGCTCCCAAGAAAGGCAAGTGGAAAATATGCGAGTGTGTGGCCCAGCCCCCTTTTCCCCTTGCCACGCTTCGAAATTAGAATGGAGCATCGTTATGGCCTCTTCCCGCACCACCGGAAACGGGCATAAAATATATGTATTTATGAATTTGCGGCAAAGAAGATTGCAGCTCAGGCAATTTTCCAGCTAGCTGAGCAGCGATTTTCACTTTTAGTTGGCATCAGAACGGAAGTGACAACTCATTGCGGAGTGACTCAGGTGTTCGCATCGCGTCAGCAATTTGTTGCTGGCTCTGTCATTGAAATATTGTCACATTTGACAATTGCCAACAGCCCCTGGTTTTGCACAGCAAGAAAATTGTTTAGAGATAATAAACGATTTGAAGAGACTTCGGCATAAATCTGGATTTTTCTGTATACGAAAAAAAGAGGCGAAAAGATACATATCTTCTAATAAACAGTTTAATAAGAACAGTTGTAAGGTTGTAAATTATACAAATAAAAGATACAAACCTATAAGAGTTCTTTACATCCACACAGTTTTTCAAATAAATAAGTATAAAATAATTGTATATTAAAACGTAATATAAATCAAAATTTACGGGAATTTACGGGCACAAACTAAAAAATAACTGAAGACAACTTATATAAAATAAGACTGATATATTAAAACCAATAATGGCGTGTGCACAATCTTTAAAATATTTTTTAAAGTGTTGTTTGCAACATTAGGTTACCCACACTACCAGTTTCATTCCCAGTGTATGCTTAGGCCACATGTGGTCTGGAGTTTGCAGCTTTAACTGACGGCTTCTGCTTTGTGTCCTTTACCTTTTCAGTCGATTCGGTGGATGTGACCTCGGAGCCGGATGATCAGGATGTTTCCGTGGCAGCTGCCTCGCACAATCCCAACAAGGGCCAGCTGGAAGTGCAGCTGGGCGGAGCGGTTACCCTGCAGTGTCCTCAAGGTAAGCTCACCAGGCCGACGGCCAACTACCAACTTCCCGTTGGCCAAGAACTTCAAAGGAAGTCAGATCCTGGGGCGGGGCAGAAGTGCCGAATTCGTGGCCCATTTAGAATGACAAATGCGTCTGGTCTGTAATTACATTTTACATTTTACTTTCGTTCAATCGAAACGAGTGGTGGCCTTTTGTACGCCTCTTCATTAATTAGCGCAATTGGAAATTAATTATGCGTGCAATTTACTTTGCTCACTTTCGGCCAAATGCGAAGATAGACAAATGGCTCGGCGTCTGCGGGAGTGACGCGTCAATTAAAGAAATTAAAACTTGCGTGCCGAGTCGTTCCTGGAAGTCAATTAATTAAATTATGCACTGGCTTTCATGTGCCGCCTTCCTCGTTTTAGGCTCCCTGGGCTGCTGGTCGCACTTGGACCCCATTTCGGCCCGGTTGCGTGGCCTTGGCTATGGCAGCAGCCAGCCCACGGGCCAGTTCTCGCTCAAGGACGTCATGTACCAGGATGCGGGCATGTACAAGTGCGTGGGCCAGTCCCCGACCAACAAGAAGAAGCTGGAGGTCCTGCAGAGCGTCACTCTGTCTGTGAAGGGTGAGTGGAACAAAATATACTATTCTACCCTTAAGATACTTTACGATATCGAAAACACTAATTTGAAAGGAATGTTAGGCAATTTTCCTACATAAAATAAATGTATTTCTAGTCACTATTTATTTCAGTCATTACCCAAGTGAAAAAATGTGTAGATTGCCAAGTAGAATAATTTATTTCCAAATGTAAAAAAGTCTACCATTCGTTAAAAAGTTATGCGTGATCAAAGTTTCTATCTCCATCTCCCTCGCACTCCCTTTACCTGAGTAACGGGTATCTGATAGTCGGGGCACCCGACTATAGCGTTCTCTCTTATTTAGATGTATGTTTGGCAATAAAATACATTACCAATATTTAGTAAGACATATTCACTTAGTAGACCAATTATTCTTTAATGTTTAATTTAGGCCTTGCAACTAAACTAACTCAGAAAATAAGAATACCTAAAATACAAACTTCTTAAAAACCTAAGATACACAATAAAATCAAATTTTCATTACCTTTGATTGGGCGTTTCTCTATCCATATTTAAATTAGTCATTTTATATTTCTTATTTTTCCAAGGCTGTGAGTTTCCAGAAGTCCAGCAATAATACGTGCCATTTTGATTGGAATAAATAAATAATATTTGTCAAAATGGACACCTCACATAAAATGCAATATAATTCGTTTCTGGTTTTGTGAATTCATATTCTTCATGGTCACTTGAGAGTTAGTCACACCTCTCAGAGATTTTCCTAACCCCTGGTGACCCGGCAGCCCAATCAAAGAACTGAAGCTGAAGCACCAGAAAATTGGGTGTGGCCCAGTTTCAGTTGACTTTTCGGTGAATGGGGATGGGAGGGGGGGAAATTGGGGGAGAGGATGTTGGGTGGTTTTTCCGAATGGGTGGCTGCTCAGGTGACAGCGAGGAGTTAAAAACATTAAAAACTTTGACAGCAGTTTCGGGACACGGCAGAGCCAAGGAAAACAAATGAAAAGTTTTATTTTCTTGCTGTCAGAAGTTCGACATTTTACTTTGCATGTGATTTTCCCCAACGATTTCCCACTTTTTTCCCCAGGTCCCACCTTTCTCCCACTTTTGTGATTTTTTTTCTGCTCTTTTATAGTCGAGCTTATCGCTCGTTCTCTTGTCGCATTGACACTTGTCAAAATCTTTGCCTGGGCGTGTGGAAAACGACGCATGATTGATGACATTGCGAAAGGCAATTCCAATCAGCCTGCGCACTTCCTTCTGACTACTGCCAGATATTAAGTATACGACAAGTGTAAGGGAATTTGAAAGAAAAATTGGAAATCATGCTGCCGGAAATTAAGGAAAATGCGTTAGCTTTGACTTCACATCACCTCCAGTTGTCTACTCGCAGCAAAGCGCATTAAGTTGTCTTGGGGCAAAAGCCAAGTGGACATTGAGACAATAAAACTTGCCAAGTGGTCGGTTGGTTGGGTGTGGATGTGGGTGTGGATGGTGGGTGTGGGTGTGCGAACGAGGGGCTTCTGCCAGGAGCAGGGACGAATCGAGGACCTGGCCAAGCTTACCCTCGAGTGCAATCCAAACATGAAGCAGCTCAGCCACTGTGTGAGCTCCCAGATCTCCGGACGAGCGAAGCCAAGCAATCAAACAAAGTCCTTGCCCGAGAACGGAGAACCGAGGACCGAGAAGTGGGTGGTCGATGTGGGTGTTGTACACGAAACGGAGACACTTATAATGCTCCCGCATGCAATTTCAAGGTAAGACAGTTTGTCATTAAAACTGCGAAATTGAGTGCTAGATAAACAAAATACAAGGCAGCCAGGAAAGTGGAAGTAGGGGGAGTTTCGGCCCGGAACAAGCGTGGCTGCTAACACTTAACGCAAATAAACAACGCAGAGGGATTGGAATGGGTTTAGTCGGTAGAGGGAAGCGTGAAATAGTCATATTTATCAAGTGGCAGACGGCAAAAGGATTCCCAGGCTTCCAGTCAAAGACCGTCGTCTGGATAACAGAGAAAACCCAGGAAAAGAAATGGGTATAGAAAAAAAGCGGAGAGACATAGCAGCCATACAATAGATTAAATTCAGAGCCCAGCAGCAAAGGACGAAGGATATACTCCTCAGTTAAGAGTTGTGTGTGGGCCAAGCAACCATGAGATGCTTTAGTTACTTCCACTATTTGTGTTTGCTTGTAAAATTAAACAAAATACAAAGAGCAACTCCGTAAAAGTTGTCTCCGCCTGTCTGCAAAGTTTCGCATTTTTGTCAATAGAAAGGAAAACACAGAAAAATATATCTCGATTTTCACTGGTCAAAATACAATTTTTAATGTAACTTGTAATATAAAAATTTTAAATTTAAATTATTTAAAGTATCCTTATTTAAATCCATGTTCTTGTAGCGTACAAAAATTAGATTGCATAAAATTAATGTTTAAATTAATACTTCAGATTAAATATAAGAAACAATTTATTGATTAAATTTCTCTCGTGCTGTTGTGAATTTTAAATATCACTTTTTAGAAAATATTTTAAGCTATAAATAAAATCACCAAAATGATAGATAATTTTTTTCACTGTAGCATTTTCAAGAAAAGAAAGAAAAATCTGAGAGCCATTGAGTTTCATCACAAGCATCCAACCAATAAAACCTTATAATCGCTCCTCAAACCGTGAGCTGCACTGATTACCTGTCCATAATTACCAAGTCAAATGGAGAAGGCCAAAAAGCGATGACAAAGGGATTATTATGGCCTCAATCATTTGCTTCGTTGACATTTTTGATTAGTCCGAGCGGAAGTTGGCAAGTTAAGGGGATGTGCAGCAGGCGGTGTGGAAGGTCTTCATTATGCATATGAAAGTTTGAGTCCTCCTTTGTTTTTCTGGGCTCTCCTAATGAACTCGTGACTTGAAATTGCAGCCTGTGTTGCCTTTACGCTTCGTTTAAGCCAAGAAAAAAGGCTGGTTGGTGGGCGGAAATTATGCAACAAATAAGCAAAGAAGCTGCTGCACCTACTTGCATATGCAGCTACTTGAGAAGCGGGCTGCGAGTAAAATAAATGTGCATATGAATTTTGAAGAAAGCCAAAGGATTCGCGGCGGCCCCAATGCAAAGTGCACTTACTTACCAACACACACACTCACACACACACACACACACACACGCGGCGCCGGAGTATCTGTGTGGGCCCAAATTTATGCTTGTGTTAAAGTTTAGTGCGTGTGCTGGGCAAAAAGTTTTGCAGCAAGAACTTGAGCAACAGCAGCTGCAAAAATGTTCAGCACTCACACAAATTAAATAACAATTTTCTCTCACAATTTCGCCATTTTTTTAGGTTTCATTTTGCCCTCGTTCGCTGTCGTTAACTTTATGTGGGCGTTTTCTTGTTGACAGTGTGTGTGTCTGTGTGTGTGTGTGTGAGGGCGGAGGGGGGCGTGGCAAGCTCTGCATATGTTAACTGGCAGTTGGCAAAAGTAGCTCAGTAGTAGAATTTGCCTTTTCGGCAGCGCTTTTTGTTCCTGTTATGCTCTGCAATTTTAAGTAATTTAAACAAATGCTGTGAAAAGTTGCGACAAAGTGGATTTTAATAAGGAATATCCATAAATGGACTGCCATTAAAGTTGGCTTATTTTTCAGGGAGTAAAAATGGCTATGCACTATCAACATAGACTGTAATCTTAGAACTTCTTGTCACCTATTCATTAAAGTAGTTCCATAAAGTAAGAATATTTATTGCAATATGAGGGATCAACTCGGCAAATCCTTAATAAATATTGTCCACAAAATAATACTAACTAACTAAAGATTAGGTATTTCAAGATTTGTCAAGATCCATCCAGCCACTTGGCACCTCCTTATCGCATATTGCATTCCCTTTGCGTAATGCCAAACTCACCCTTAATGATTATTTGCGGAATTTTTATTACAAGCCAAGAAAACCAGGAACGCGAGGGCTGTCTCAAGTACAATGAGACCCGAGTTCGGCCTGTTTTAATAAAACCTTCTCCACGCATATTCCACGCTTAATTTAGAGCAAGAAACGCGGCCCAGCCCAACTCATCGCAATTTCCCTTCGAGCGATACGAGAACATAAATATTGCTTTATGCGCTGGCACACTCGAATCGGCCCTCCCTTTTTTTCTGGCCATTCCATTCTTGGCCCTGTTTTATGCATGCTAATTTGTAATATGCATGTTCCTCGCTTTTGATCAACGCATGCGGAGGAAATATTTTCGCATTTTTCCCATTTTCCATGCGTAATTTTTCTTCTTGGCAAATTTGCTTTCGGAATTTGGCGCGTTTGCCAGCAAATATTGCTTTGTTTCTACTCATTAGGTTTGGAGTTCGGGGTTGGCAATTTTTTTTTCTTTTTTGGGGGGTTCCCTTTCATAAAATATGCGAAAGAATTTTTTTTCGGTCCTCATTTTGCTTTTCATTTGTGCCTCATTTAAATGGCAATTTATTGCGCCCTGCGACAAGACTTTAAAGGCAGTCAGGAATTTTCACAGCAGCTGCGCTAAATTGCATGTTAAATGCTTCCCAGCTCCACCCTAAAAAAAAGGCGATCTTGAGCATTAGATAAACGTTTTTGAAATGGATTTGCCGGGGGTTGAAAAGAATTAAAAACTTCAAAGTCCTCGCATAAGGAAACCCAAGGGAATGTCTGGTAAATTGGTAAATAGTTTAACCACCAACTGAAAAATACTTTGAAGTACGATTTGGGATTTCGAAATAATTTGATTTCAACTGGCAATTTGGTAGAAGAGCCCTCTCACTTCGATTTCCGATTGATTTGCTGGGTAAATATGCCAACTTTTCCTAATTATAAGCAAGCCAAATGGCTCAGTTTCCTGCTCACAAAGGGGATGTGCATTTGAAATAGTTATCCTGCAGAGGCCAAAGAAAAACATTTGCCCGACTGCATTGCCAGGAACTTTCCCCACTCATTACTGTCGTCCTTGCCTCATGTTGTCAACAGTTTTGTGTCCTTTTCGGTGTGTTGTCTTTTGCACAGAGCGCACTCAAGC